GGGGGGGGGGATCTAGCTCCTTCTTCTATCAGCTATGGCTTAAGACCACTACATGGCGGCCTGTGACCTGCAGAACAGCATGCATATTGTACAATCAATCATATAAAAATACACAGGGAGCCCTGGCAGGGTGGCTCAGTTGGCTGGAGTGTCATCCATACACCAAAAAGGTTGCGGGTTTGGTTCCTGGTCAGGGCACATACCTAGGTTTCAGGTTTGATACCCAGGCAGGGCACGTACAAGAGGCAACTGACCGATGTCTCTCTCTCACTTCGATGTTTTGTGTGTTGTTGTTGTTTTCTCTCTCTCTCTCTCTCTCAAATCAGTAAACATATCTTTGGGTGAGAATTTTTTTTTAATTTTTTTAAAAATACAAAGACACAGAGAGAACATAGTTAAGTTAGTTGGTTAGTTAGCTACTAGATGTGCGTGAGTTAATTGACTGGTTTGTTAGTTAGCTTCAGTGGCTTTCTGCTATACATAAAATATCTCTAGAAGGACAGACAAAAAGCTGCTAAGAGTACGCATGAAACTAATATAATATTGAATGTCAACTGTAATTAAAAAATAAAAAAATATTTAAAACTGGTAAGAATGCCTCAGACAGGGACGAGAGAGGTTTTTATATATACTCTTTAGTACATTTTGAATTTTTAACCATACAAGTGTATCACCCACTAAAAATAAATGTTTAAAATAAAAATGTAGAATAAGCTGCCCCAAAATTCTAGTTCATGAGTGTGCATCCCCTCGGCGGCATTCAGCCTGATTGGGAGGAAATTATTTACACTCTTGGAGGAGATGAAAATTTCTCCTTCTTGGGATCCAGTTGCAAGTTGGTCTCTGAAATCTGCACATTGGTGCCTTTTAGCCAAAACGATTAAGCCTGCCTTTGTGTTTTCCACAAAATTATTTCTGAAAACATTTGCATAGTAATTGGAGCAAACTATTTTAAAACATTTAAACATGAGATCTAATAGCGTGATTCTTTTCTATTTAAACAGAGGTTAAATAGTCTTTGGATGCAAACCAAGTAAATCCTTGGGTGTTTATTTTTCAGAACAAAAAGTACATGTTTATTCAGTTCACATGTGACTTTGTGACATTTGCTTGAGGGGAATAAAAGTTCCAGAGATGATATGTCAACGGAGAAAATCGCAATGGGTGACTCTAGAGGAGGAACAAACACGGCCACTGTCTGGCTGCCATTTCGACGCCGGCGAGGCGGAATCAAAGGCGGGACAATGGAAACGCTAGTGAGGAAAGAGATGATGGGGGGCTGTAAAGAAACCTCCCAGTAGCTTTCATAACATCCAAACCAAGTCAGCCAGGTTTGGGGAGAGGAAAGGAATCTCCACCGAGGGCAGCGTGCGTGGACCTCACAGCCTGGCCGCTGGCGGCCGCAGCTGCCCCTTGGAGCAGCCTGGGCACCCCCCTCGCCAAGGCCGGCACCCCCCGGCCACACCCGATCCGCTGCAGGCCTATCTTCTCTTAATTCCCAAGGGGCTGTCAAGATAAGAGAGTTCGCTTCCACCGAGGCTCTACCTGAAGGCTTCCTCACAACAGAGACACAAATAGGGAGAGTAACAAAATTTTGTGTTTGACCTTCTGGACAATACTGGCTTCCTGGGCCCCATCTGATAGTGTCCCAAGGAAGGTATCATGCTCAGAGTGTCCCCGGTCTTGCTGTCGTCTCCTTTCAGAGGAGGAGCCCACAGCCCCAGGCAGCAGGCATCTACCCCTGAAGGGATCTCCACGTAAACGGGCCGTGGTTCTGCCCTCCTCCCCGAGTCTCTTCTGGGGGTCAGGCTAAGGGAGCCCATGCCACCTAGGCCACCCAGAAGCCCCTGGCCAACAGGAGCAGCTGCCTGACCACCCCTCGAAGCCTGAGGTTGCTGAGGATGACAATAAAGGGATGGACAGATGTGCACAGGTAGGTTAAAATTTGCCACGGCCAGTACCAGTCGGTGTCTGTGGAGAAGAAGCCCGTGGCATCGATGATCAGGGACATGAAGGACAGAACGTACAGGATAAGGAAGGAGACGAGCGACTTCAGGGCTTTGGTGTGAGCCAGGGTGCTGGGGTCCCGCGGGCTGTGGCCAATCTGCCGCATCGTCCGAGTGTGTCTCCTCAGAGAGCTAATCAACAGCACAGTGGCGACCAGAAAAACCGAGCAAGGAATCGACAAGGTGACAAATTTCAGGGGCAGGAAATAGTGGGTTTCCATCCTCATGGTCCACTCCTTGTAGGTCATATTCCCAAAGAACTCTCTAAACAAGAAACCTCGATACACAGTGTGGTTGCCCCAAAAGAAGAGCAGGGTGACGACGGTGGAGATGAGGAGAGAGCCCAGCAGGAGCCAGGGCACCGACCCTGGGAACCTCCACTTCAGCCAGAGGAAGGCGGGGTGGGTGAGGGTAGCGATCTTCATGCAGAACAGGACGCTGAGCCAGGTGCCAAACCAGAAGGTGGCCGAGTTCAGAAAGTCCCACTGGAGGCCGAAGAGCTGCCGAGCCGGGCCCGCGCTGAACTCCCCCAGGCGGAGGAAGGTGTAGAAGTTGTGCACCACTCCAACCCACTGCAGGCCGAAACGGGAGGCCCCCAAGCTCATGAGGATCATGTCAGAGGGGGGCAGCCTCCCAAGCCGCCTCCACTCTCTGCCCAGCACCAGCACAATGAAGCCATTGGCCAGGATGCCCAGGAGACACAGCAGGACAAAGAACAGCATGAAGAGGGCTGTGAACGCTGGCTGCATGTTGGTTACCACCCCTCCTCTGGTCACCACCCCTGCCTTGGTCCTTGGCCTCCTTCCTACCCCCTCACAGTCCCTCTTCTGATTTTTCCTTGGGGGATGTGGAAAGAATGCCCAGGCTCTGCATCTGAGCCAGAGTTCACTTAGAAAGAAGGTGCTCGGGCTACGGAGAAAAGGTGAGCTTGGCTCAGCGAAGATGCAAATGTCCCCTGGGCTCAGTTACCACTATGCCTGCCAACTGGCCCTGATTTGCTTTCTCGCGTTTTGCCTGCATGTTGCCATGGTTAACATCAACGTAGAGGGCTTCTCAGGGAGTCTGTGACTGAGCTTCAGCCTTCTTATGCCATCCATGGGCCTTCTAAACACACACCTCCCCATCAGGTCTTTCTCAAGATATGAAGTATACAAGCAGGAAGTATAGAGACACTCACATGGCCAAGACCTAGCAAATAGTGACGCTCAAGAAGCATGTATCTAGCCAAGCTCCCCTGTTACACGTCCACCTTACCTAGAGACAGCCATCCCTTCAAGGTCAGATACCCTGGTTCACTCTGGTAGCAAACCTCTTAAATCCTTCATGCCCCTGAGGTGTAAATGATCGACAATGGTTTAAGCTGGTTTCATGCTTCCAGAGAGATAATTCATTTCCTTTTGGTTATGGGACCGAGGGCCTCTGCTTCTTGCTAGGTGTCCACTGAAGGTCACCCTCAGGTCCTAGTGGCTGCTTGACGTCTTTGCCAAGTGGGCTGTTTCAACATGGTGGCTCAAGCCACTTAAAATCCTAGAGAGGGTCTTAAATATCAAAACATAATCCCCGGTGTGATTCCCCTTTGTCATATCCTTTTGGCTAGAAGCAAGTCACATTCCCCACAGACACTCAAAAGGGGGGGTTATGCAAAGGTGAGGATACCAAGGGTAGGGGGCATTGGGGGTCAACTTAAAGTGTGCCTACCACACTGAGATACTGTAGCTTACAAGGCATGTGTGAGTCCTATCCTCCAGCACCAACATTAAAAAGAGATCCTTGCCCTGACTAGGTAGCTCAGTTGGCGTTGTCTCAACATGCCAAGGTTGTAGGTTCAATCCCCAATCAGAGCACATACAAGAGTCAACCAATTAATCCATAATTAAGTGAAACAACAAATCAACATGTCTCATCTCTCTCTCTCCCCCTCTCTTTCTAAAATCAATCAATAAAAATTTTTTAAAAAGAGAGATCCCTATGAGACCATGTGAAAAAAATATATATTTTTTCCAAATGAAAATAGATTCAAATCAATCCATACTCAAATGTTTTCTGTTTACTATATCACATTTGTCCTTCCCCGACATTTGTTTAAAACTTTTTTATGTTTGTGTATCATTTTACATTGTGACCTTGTCAGGAAAAAGTCAACTAAGAAAATTAGTCGTACAAATGATGTGGAAGTTGTCACCACCACGTGAATGTATAATTGTACTAAAGATTATTCACAATTAAAAGAGAGACTCCACTGAAATTGGGTGAATATGCTCCCTCTCAGATATCTGTTCCTTATACGGTCTTCACCGTCAATCATTCACTCAACAAGTACTTGTTGGGCACTTATACACCTGTCCCAGTCCCTGGGGACAGAGCAGTGAAGCAAAGAGGTGGCATTCCTGCTTTTATGGAGCCTGCAGCCCAACGGAAGATTACGGATAAGTAAACACATAAAGAAGGCTCTTGGAGAGGGCGGGAGAGGGGAAAGTGGCTCCTTTAGACCTGTCGGCTGAGGAGGGTTTTCTCAGCGGGTGACGTGACCTCAGCAGCCTGGACAATAGAGCTTTTACATGTATAATTGGCCGTATTCATAATATTGTCAAACTATTATCATATTCATTCTCTTCCATCATCCTTCTAACTTTATGTGGCAAGTGAACCTTCGTCTGCCAGAGAAGAGCTCCAGCGACTGCATGACTTTCCTTTCACTCTTTTCAAACAGGTTGTCCCAAGATCACTTCAAGTCACAAAACAGTCTCACGTCAGAAAGTGGACATTGCTGTCCAATATATAAATATTACATAACTAGATAACTGCAGGCCTCCACCGCTGCGAGATGGGCTAATGCAGAGGCCGAATGGGAGAGCGGCAGGAAGGGCCCAGCTTGGGCTAGAACCACAGTGACCTGGCTCTGTGCTCCCCAGGCCTGGCAGATGTTTATGCTGACTCTCTCCCTCATGGGGACCTTTCGGGGATCGGGAAGCCCCTACCGGGCCTACTCCCCTGGAGTTTCCTTCGATGGGGAGAAGGCATCTTAGTTTTGAGTGATCCCTCAGGATTCCTTCATCAGCCCCTAGGCATTCACCACCAAATTGTTGCTGCTTGAGTTTCCACACTCTGGCCTACTAGTCGGATCTCAGGACACTCGCACACACATGCTCTCTCCCCTGGGGCTCACAGCTGGCCCCCCTAACCCTACTCCCATAGTCCTAGTGGAGCCACATTCCCTTGACTCCACTCCAAAGTTAGCCAGCCGGCCTGTCTCTAATCTTTTAGTCCCCAGGCAGAAGCAAGCCCCTACCGCTCTATGCCTCCCAGCTGAAGAACTAACACAGTGAGCTCTGTGAGTGGCCTCGTGGAGCCTCTGGATCACCACCAGGTTTGAGGGGAGGCATTCCTAAGTCCTCTTCGGCTTTTGCTAAATGTTTATTCCTCAAAACATCCTCTCTCTTTTTCTTTTACTGTCTCAACCCTTTTATTTTATCAAAGGGTTTCAAGAGTATGGAACAGATTTATACTCACTTCCTTTGAAAACCTGCATATCATGAACTGGCAACTTGCTCTGATATTTCATATCATTAAGTCTGTGCACCTGATAGAAATTTCAACTTTGAACATTGGGTTATTCAAAGGGCAAGACCAAGAAAGTCATGTTGGTCATGGTAAGAAATTTGGATATCCTTCTAATGTAAACTGAAAGCCATTAGGGGGTTTAAACAGGGAGTAGCGTGATCTTCTGTGTTTTTAAACAGATCCTTTGGGCTCCTGTGTAGAGAATGGAATTGGGAGAGGCAAGCATGGAAGAGAGCAGTCACAGGCTACTGCAATAGACTGTGTACAAGCAGATGGTGCTTAGTCTCAAGAAGAACCACTAGAGGTGGTGAGCAGTGATAAGATGCTGGCATATTTTGATGACAGATTCAAAAAGACTGGCCTGATATAGGGGGTTAAAGAAAAATAAATCAAGGATGACTTCTAAATATTTTTGCCTCAGTGACTGGGAGAATTCTATGGAGCATTTACTTAGATGAGGAAGACTTAGAGAAAAATGTTTGTGGGAGAAACTATTCTGGTTATGTTAAGCTTGAGAAGCCTGTTAGGTATCTAAGATGAGACATGAAGCAGACAGCTGAAATGTAAGCCTGGTTTTCAGTGAAGAGTTAAGGCTGGAGTAGCAGGTTTGGGAGTCAGCAACACTAACATGTATTTAAAGCCATTAAACTGGATGAGATCATGTGGGGAAATGTAGATGGAGGCTGTTAAGGGGCTGGGATGGCTGTTAAGTCATGCACCTTCAGTGCTAGGGACCGAGAGTCAAAGGCTGCAACAAAGAAGATTTGGCTGAGGCTAACATTAGGGAGGGATTCTATTCCATGAGCTCATGCTCAGGGACAGGGGAGGAAGAAACATGCAGGTGAGGAGGGAGACGTGAGAATGTAAATGTGCTGAAGTGATCTGCACCCAGGGATCGTAGGCTCTGCTCTCTGGGGAGATGCCCTAGGGCAGCCACTGTTAACATGTTCTAACTCTGAGAGGCCCTTTGGTAGGGACTCAAGACTAGCACAGTAGAATATCGGTGTTGAAACTGGCATCTGTCCTGTGCTTTACCCACTAACTGCCTGAGCAGAGAAGCCCTATTTATAATTCATCCATTCAACAAAATCTATTCAGCATGTACTGTCTATTGGGCACTAGGCCAGCACATCGGTACAAAAATTAAGATAGCCTCTTGAGAGAATTAGACAAGTAAACATATAATGACAATTTGGTACGATAAATGATAAAATAATAACTAGTATTTGCTCAGTGCTGCTAAGCATCCTCTTGCACTATTCTAAGTGCTTTACATATATTAATTTTTTGATACTCATAAAAACTCAATGAGTTTCAAAAATGGTTCTGGGACTAGATATCCATACACAAAAGAATATAGTTGGACCCCATCCTCACACCACACAAAAATGAACTCAGAGTGGATCACAGATCCAAATATAAGAGCTAAAACTATAAAACTCTTCTAGAAAAACGTAAGAGTAAATCTTCATGATCTTGGGTTGGACAAAGCCTACTTAGGTATTATATCAAAAAGTGTAAGTTATTAAAGAAAAAATAGGTAAATTGGATTTCATCAAAATTTTAAAACTTTTGTTTCCATGAATAGCATCAACAGAGTGAAAAGATAGCCCATGATGGCAGAAAATATTTGCAAACCATGTATTTGCAAATCAAGGAAGTTGCATCCAGAATATATAAAGAACACTTACAACTCAACAATAAAAAGACAAGTAACCCAATTTAAAAATGGGTGGAGGATTTGAATAGAGATTTCTTTAAAGATGATATGCAAATGACCAATAAGCACACTAAAAGATGTTCCACATTATTAGTCATTACAAAAATGCAAATCAAGATTACAAGATACCACTTCACATGCATTAGGGTGGTTAAAAGCAAAAAAAAAAAAAAAAAAAAAAAAAGACAATAAATGTTGTCAAGAGAGGGGAAGACTGAGCCCCTCTCTTGAGCTGATGGCATCATATTTCCTCATTACAAAGCTATGGTAATCAAAACAGTACGGTACTGGTATAAAAACTAACAAATGAACAGAATAGATTTGAAAGCCCAGAAATAAATCCATGCAATTAATTTTTACAGAGGTGCCAAGAATATACAGTGGGGAAAGGATAGTCTCTTCAAGAAATGGTGGTGTGAAAACTGACTATCCACATGCAAAAGAATTAAACTGGATCCTATCTTACACCATATACAAAAATCAACTCAAAATAGATTAAAGAGTTGAATGTAAGACCTGAAGCTGTAAAACTCCTAGGGGAAAACTAAGAGAG